AAAGACCTTGATGCCCTATGGCCCGAATACCCTCATGCCTGAGCGCGCTAGAACCTTGATGTCGTAACGCAATACCGCCCTAAAACACTAACACTGTAATGCCCTATCACCCTACAGTCCTAGCCCCTTAACAACCTATTACCCTAGTGCCCTAACGCCCGAATGCCCTAAACCTGCGAAATGGCCTAAAACTCCAATGTCCAAAGCCCTGATACCCTACTACCCTAGAACACTAACGTCCTAATACCCTGCGACCCTAAGACCTAACAGCCGTAACATCCGAAAACCCTAGCACCCAAATGCTCTAAGACCTTCGCACCCAACGGCCCTAGAGCCCTAGAGCTTTGAAAACCCTGATACCTTAGTAACCGAACGCCCTACCCAATACTTTAATTCCATACGACCCTCGGACCTTAATAACGTCATACCTGAAAACTTTGAGACCCTAGTATACGAAGTCCCGACAATCCTTATAACATAGTGCCCCAACATCCAAATACCCTGATGCCCTAACACCCTGATCCACTACGGCCCTGGTACCCTACGGCCCTAAACACTAAAGCCTTGAGACTCTGAGGCGCCAGAATCCTGAAACCCAGAGGCACTAACGCCCTAATACCCCAAGGTATTAATGCCCTGGAGCCCTAATTTGCCCGGCGAAGGGCCCAACCATATGCAGTTGTGAGTGCCGCAATTGTGAGGATCGTCTTCGGTGACACTCTTTATGGGGCCACACACCTGTAAGGTGCGCGCCGGTTTGGGTAGAGGGGGGGGCGCATGTGGACCCTCCCACTGGAACATTGGGTGGAACTCCCTACAGGGCCACGAAACGTGTGAGGGCAGTGCCGAAACGGGCGTAACGCCCACATGCGAACTGCGCCACAGGAGGGACCTTTGGTGGAACCCCCTACGGGGCCACGAAATGTGTCAGGGGTGTGCCGAAACGGGCGTGATGCCCACATACAAACTGCGCCACTCGGACCAAGGGTGACGCCCACCTGCGAACCGCGCCACTGGGACCTTCGGTGGGGCTCCATACGGGGCCACGAAGCATGTGAGTGGTGTGCCAGAACGGGCGCGACGCTCACATGCGAACTGCGCCACTGGGACCTTCGGTGGAACTCCCTATGGGGTCACTAGGCGTGTGAGGGGTGTGCCGAAATGGGCGTGACGCCCACATGCGAACTGCGCCACTGGGACCTTCGGTGGAGCTCCCTATGGGGTCACGAAGCGTGTGCGTGGTGTGCCGAAACGGGCGTGACGCCCACATGCGAACCGCGCCACTGGGACCGTCGGTGGAGCTCCCTATGAGGCCACGAAGCGTGTGCGTGGTGTGCCGAAACGGGCGTGACGCCCACATGCGACCGTCGCCACTGGGACCGTCGGTGGAGTTCCCTATGGGGCCACGAAGCGTGAGGGGTGGGCCGAAACGGGCGTAACGCCATCGTGCGAACTGCGCCACTGGGGCCTTCGGTGGAGCTCCCTTTAGGGCCACGAAGCGTTTGAGGGGTGTGCCGAAACGGGGGTGACGCCGACATGCGAACTGCGCCATTGGGACCTTCGGTGGAGCCCCCTCTGGGGCCACAAATCGTGAGAAGGGTGTTCCGAAACGGGTGTGACGCCCACATGCGAACTTTGCCGCGTGGACCTTCGCTGGAGCTCCCTACGGGGCCACGAAACTTGTGAGGGGTGTGCCGAATAGGGCGTGACGCCCACATGCGAACTGCAGCACTGGGACATGCGGTGGGGCCCCCTTTGGGGCCACGAAGGGTTTGAGGGGTGTGAAGCAACAGAGACGATGCAGGGATGAGAGGAGGAAGGGGAGGAGGAAGGAAAGAAGGAGTGAACGCGGGGCGCTGTCTTCCAAAACGAAGACCCCATACCCTAAAAACTTAAGGCCATAATTCCATGATGCCCTAACGCGCTGGTGCCCTAAGACGTTGTAGCCCTGACATCCGAAAACCTTGAGACGCGAACGCCCTAATGCCCCAAGGCCCTCAGACCCGAAGGCCCTGAACTACCCTAACACCCCGATGCCCCCAGAACTTGATAGCCTAAGTCCCTGGTGCCTTAATACCAGAAGGCCCTGCTACCAGAATGCCCTAATACTCTACTGCCCTAATGCCCGAAAGTCCCAACGCCGTACCACCCTATTACCCTAAAGCCGCAGACCCCTAATATCCAACTGCCCTCATAGCCTAACGCCCTAATACACTGGACTTGAATGGCTCAAGACACTACCCAACTTGCCTGATACCCTACTACACTAGAACCTAAACGCCCTCCCGAAGGCTCTATTACTGTAATCTGGAACGCTAGAACGCCCGAATGCCCTTAATAGGCGAACACCCCTTAATGCCCTAATACTGAAATATCCTACTACTGGAAAGACCGGATAAACTTATACTCTAAGACCTTACAGCCGTAAAGCTATAATGCCCGAACGTTCCCATACCCTCATGCCTTCACACCCTTCGACCACTTAATACGTAGAGCTCTAATACCGTAAAACACCAAAACCGATTACCCAAATACCCCTTATATCCTAAAATCCAAATGCCCTAACACGAATACCCTGACGCGCCAATAAATGAATACCCTAACGCCCTAAGACCCGACAGTCCTAAAAGCCTGATGCCCCAAGAGCCTAAAGCCCTAATACACAAGTAACCGAACGTCAAGCCCTCATACCTTCATGCCATAAGACGCTCGGGCCCTAATGCCCTCACACCCTAAATCCCTACAGACCCTAATGCACGAATACCCTACCACACTTTTGCACGAAGACCCTAACATCCAAATGCCATGGTACCTTAACACTCCAGCCTTACTCCCATACGGCCCTGATGCCGTAAGTCCCTACATCCTGAAACCCTGAGATCCTCAGGCCATTAGACACCAAACATAATGATACCCAAAGATCCCAACGCCCTAATGCCCCAAGACGTCAAGACCCTGATGCCCCTACGCCCTATAATCCGAGTGCGCTAGTACCCTGACACCCAAGAAACTCAGACCCTAAGACCCTCATGCCCTAAGGCCCTAGAAGCCTGAAGCCCGAATGCCAGAGTAACCAAACACCTTATCCGAATACCTTGATGCCATAGGACCCTAGGCCCATAATTCCCTCATGCCCTGAAGCCCCAAGACTCGAATGTCCCACCTAATACCCCTACGCCTTAAAAACCTCAACACCCGCATCCCCAGACCCGGTGCTGCCTTAAGACCAAGTGCCGGAAGACCGTAATATCCTAATGCCTTGCGGTCCTAAAACCATAATGCCGTCACACCCTAACACACTGATACCCCAAGACTTTACAGCCCTAGAACCCGAACGCCCTAAGACCCGAACTCCCGAATACCCCGAGACCCTCAGACCCGAAGACCCTAAAACCTTCATGCCCCAACTAACTGATGCCCTCAGATCTTGATACCCTAAGGCCCTGATGCCCCAATACCGGGAGACTCTGCGATCGCAGAACCTTGATACTCTCATACACGAATATCTTAAGTTTTTGATGCGCTAAGACCCTACTAACCCAAGCCACGAATGCCCTTATACCATAAGACCCCAATGCCTTACGAAAGCCCCAATGCGTCAACACCTTATCCGAAAACCAACATGCCCTAAGACCCGACTGCTCTAACCCCCCAGGACCACGCGGCCCTAACGCCCTAATGCTCTAACACCCTAATGCTCTGAGGCCTCTATGCCCTGGTACCCGATTCCACTAAGGCCCTGAATTCTGAATGCCCTAAGACCCGAACGCCCGAATGCTCCAAAAAACTCAGACCCGACGACACAACCAAAGACCTATACCCTAACACCCTGGTGCCCTCAGGTCATGCTGCCCTAAGACCCTGACGCCCTAATACCGGAAGACCCTGCGACAAAAAAAGCCTAATACCCTCATGCCCTAACACCCTAAGATCGAATGAGTGCGCTAAGACCCGACTACATTAAGCCATACAGGAATACCGTACAGAGCTCATACCTTAATACCCTAAGACCCCTATGCCTTAACACCCGGAAAATTAATGCGTCAACACCGTGACACCCTAACGGCCTAATATCCGAATGTCCTAAGGCCCGGCCGCCCTAAATCCCTAAGCGGCCCTGACGCCCTAATTAATGCCTTTTTGCTCCAGCACTCGAATGCCCTAAGACCTTCATGCCCCCATGCCCCATTGCGCTGAGACCGTAATGCCCTGATCCCCATAATGCACTAAAACCCTAAAACCCTGACGCCCTAAAGCCGTAATGCCGACACCCACCAACTCGGGCCCAGCCGAACTCGGACCCAGCGGAACTCGGGCCCGGCCGATCTCAGACCCAGCCGAACGCCCAACTGAACTCGGACGCCGGCTCGCGCCGTCGCGGGAGGGCCCGAGCCCGAGGTCAGCTGAGTCCGATTGTGGGAATTCCTGGATGAGCCGGGTGCGAGGTCAACCGGGAACTGAACTCGGACCTTAGGAGGCAGCTACTGGGAGGTTTTCGTCGGAAGGATTAAATGGGATTCAGCCCCATTTGGGAGCTGTTACGCCGGAATGGGCCACGGACTAAGCAGGATTAAGCCGGATTAAGCAAGATTAAGCGGGATTAAACAGGATTAAGCGGGATTAAGCCGGATTAAGCCGGATTTCGGACCAGGGCTAAATCAGAATTTTACCTCCCAAGAGTTGCATCCGAACGGACCCAAGTAAAATCAGACCCCGACGCACGCAGGCACAGCTGAGCTCGGACACAACTGAACAGACATCCGACCGATCTTGATCTATCTACGTCCAGTCTGAGCTCCCAGCAGAAGTCGCTGAAGGTTCGCGCCGCAACGGGAACGCCCGGGGTCGAGTTCAGCCGGGTCCGAGATCCGTCGGGCCCGAGTTCAGCCGGGTCCGAGATCAGCCAGGTCCGAGATCAGCCCTTTCCCGAGTGGCCCCGCCCGCGCCAGCAACCCTAGGAGCCCGTCCTTGCCTCCGCGCATCCTTCGCCGCGCCCACCCTCACACGCACAGTGCCAGGCTGGTTACCACGAAAGCCCACAGCAGTGGGAAGAGGAGGTGCCCCTGCGCGAAGGAGACGCCAGCAGAGCTGATCAGATCCAGGTGGTCATTGGAGGAGACGTTTGCGAAGAAGAGGGCGACGTAGTTTATGGCGAAGAGGCTGTACAGCGTGCCCAGCACGTAGACGAGGGCGTCCCGCCTGCGCCATCTCCCTAGCTGCAGCTCCCACTCTCGACATCCCTCCGTTGGAACTCGCACGAAGTGACGCTGGTGCGCCAGTTTGATGATGGATAGAGGGATGCTCGCCAAGAGCGCAGAGACCATACCGACTGCGATCAACTTTCCAAGCGCCTGCCACATGCAATCGTCGTCACGGTCGTCACACTCCGCGTTGCACTCCTCGGGCGAGTCCTTCGCCAGAGCCCCCCCCGTACTCGCGAAGAAGAACGTAGCGATCATCACGGCCCCCGTCAGCTCGCAGCCGAGCAGCAGTACCCTCATGGATCTCCTCATGATGATGCTTCGCACAAAGACCGCCCCGACGGGACAGTTGATCAGGAACGATAGCATCAACGTGCGAGCCGCGTGGCACCGCGAGCGGCGACGCCGCAGCGCGCTCTCACGGGCCGCCCGCACCCTGCCGACCATCTCGGCCAGCATGTCGTGCCGCCGTTTGGCCTCGGCGACGCCGCCCTCGGCAGCGGAGCCAGCGAGGGTGCGCAGCGCAGCGCCCTCACTGTCCAGCTCGCCCGGCGCCGGGGGCTCCAGCTCCTTCTGGACCTCTGGGCTGAGCAGGAAGTCCACATCTCTGGGGTGCATGAGCAGAGACGCGCACACCCGATTCGTCGCGTTCCACTCGGCCAGCGTTTTGGCCAGATCCTTGAGGCCGAAGTTGCCCCTGAGAAGTTCCCACACGAAACTGACAAACACCTCGACGGTTTGCCGGATGCCGTCGACGCACTTGGTGACGATGCTGACGACTTCCAAGAGCGCGCCCTGCAACAGCTCCTCGCAAGACGCCTTTGTGTCCTGCTGGACCGCCTGGCGGGCAGACTGCAACGACCCCACGGCGGTTGTATAGCTGGCCCTTGACGATGTAGCTGCCACCGCGTGGCATTGACTGCTCTGACTGCTCGCGACGCTGCCGTCTGACCTTTTCTTGCAGAACTCCTTGCGCAACGCCTCCGTAACGGGCGTGTGATCGGCGCCGCGCGGAACTGTCCGAGGCGCGCCCGCCGCGGCGCGGTCCTCGGCACCCACGGCGCTGCAGCTCGAACTTTCCAAACAGAAATGCTTGCGCAGAACCTCCGTGACGTTTGCGCGCTCGGCACCGAGCAGGGTCACCGGGGGCGCGCCCGTCGTCTCGGTGTGGTATCCGTCCGCCCGCGTCGTCGGGCAGGCGACGGGTTCCCGCGCGAGCTCGGGAACGACGAACTCCCTCGTGCCCCAGCGGCCCGCCCGCTCGTCCCTGACGTCGCACGCGTGCGCGGTCAACAGCATGGCGATGTACAACAACATCACACACTGCAGCAACACCGAGCCCGCGGAGTCCAACCAGCCGCCAGTCCACAACTCCACGTAGGACTCTGCTGACAGCAGGCTGGCCTGGCTACACTCGAGCGAGCTCACGAAGCCCTTCAGTATGGCCCCGAAAACTGTGAGGTGTGTGGTCGCGCACCGCAGCGTGCCGTCAGCGCGGCGCGTACTTGCCATGCCCTCGGAGCTCCATTCCAGCATGGCTTCGTCGAAATCCGCCGACCCGATCGGCGTGTGGACGAGGCTCTTTCATCCGTCGCTGTTTCATTGGTCGTCTCCTCGTCGTCGTCGTCGCCGTCGCCATTCCAAGCTTCCTCCTGGGCCTCCTTCTCCAACGCGCCAGCCGTTGTTGGAGGCCTGGAAATTGGCACCAACACCAGCACAGGTGGTTGCCTCCACATAGGGAAGATGATCCTAGATTTCGGTGTTGGTGGTAATATTTCGGCCACCTTGGAAGCCATACTATTACCGCCATCACCGAGATCGGGATCGTCTTCCCTCGGTGGAGGCACACCGCCGATCTTGCTGTTGGTGCCAACCTCTAGGCCTGCGACGTTGCCTCTCTTACCCTGGGCCTTTCATTTCAAGCGTGCTGGCCAAAGCGACAGTAACGAACCGCGTCGTTCATAAGAAGGGAAGCCCCTTCCCTTCATACCTTCGCCCCCCGGGGGGGGGGGTCCTGGAGGTGTGGATCCCGGGAAGCGAAACAGTCTTTCTGTGGCCCGTTGGGCCCGTTGGGCCTTCGCCCCCCGGGGGGGGGGGGTCCTGGGGGGGTGGATCCCGGGAAGCGAAACGGTCTTGCTGTGGCCCGTTGGGGCCTCCCGTGGCCCGCTGGGGCTTTCTGTAGCCCCGTTGGAAGCCTTCGGTGGCCCTGGTGGCCCCTGTTGGGCCTTCTGTGGCCCGGCCGCCGCTTCTGAACACCATACCCCAAACACCATACGAAGCACTTCAACTTCAACCCCAG